TTTCCCTAGCTTATTCCGTATAGGCACAATGAAATGTGGTGTAATTTAGGAAAACTTTATAAATAATACAGTAGGAATACATTTGCTATAGCGATAATCTCAGAACACCTGGTTGTAATCACGGATTCAGCACAGTCCACTGTGTATCTTCTTGATCACTAAAGAATTCAAAGGAATATGTCTGTCTGGCTGTTATGTCTTAAGACTGGGCAGGAAACTTACCTGTCATAGCCTTTGAAATGTTCACGTTGGAATTTTCCTTATTATTAAGCATTGTCTTTGAGGCCCTAGCTAGGGTTAAAAAAAAAAAAAAAATTAAAAGAGAAGATGCTATTTACAATGGCTTCAGAATATCAGTACCTAGGAATAAACAGAACAAAAGATGTGTAAGATATCAGTGGCAGAGATTTACTAAGAGGTGTTAAATAAGATAAATATAGAGAGTGAAATACGATATTCATGAATAGGAGGACATAATGGTTGTCAATTTTTGTAAACTAATCTATAGATTCAGTATAATTTCAGTCAAAGCACATGAGCTCTTCTTACTCATAATACTTCTGACACCTAATTCGTGTCCTAACAATTTAATTGTTAAGGGCTCAGTCCCATAAGACCACTCCTTCTTCAGATGCCAGCTGAAATGGGGTACCCAGGCTACTCAGACTTCTGTCTGGCCAGCTACACATTTGGGGGTTTCTACAACATGCCCTCAGGTTCGGCGATTAGCTGGAATGACTCACAGAACTCGGGAAAGCACTTTGGAAACTGTTACTGGCTTATTATAAAGAGTACAACTCAAGGAACAGCCAAATGGAAGAGATATATGGGGCAAAGTGTGGGGATAGCGTGGGGTGTGGGGAACTTCCATGCCCTCTCCAGGTATGCCACCCTCCCAGCACCTCATCATGCTCACCAGCCTGTAAGCCCTCTGAATCCCTCTGTTTAGGAATTCTTATGAATGTTTCATTGTCTTAGCGTGGTTGATTAAATCTCTGGCTGTTCGTGATTGACTCAGTCTCCAGCCTGTCTCCCCTTTGTGGAAGGTTGGGGGATTGGCTGAAAGTTCCATACTTTTAATCAAGATTTTGTTTTATTTTTTTTATTATATTAGAGCATAGCAGAGCTTTTCATAGTATATGATAAATATATCAAAGAGTAAAGGTCCAAGACTACCTGAAGCACTTTGAAGATTAGGATTAGGATTCTGGGTGTATTGGGGAGGGGAGGCTTGGTTTGAGTCTGTAGTAACTGAAACAGTGTCGAAATGGCCCTGGGTTAGACAAATTGATTACTGGAACAGACTAGGGAGAACCTGGACACATTTGTGATAGAGGTGGCTAATCAGTGGGGAAAGGAAGGCATTGGAAGAAATGGTTTTCTTTATGGTAAAAGATTGTATTGTTACAATTGTATCATGATCTCAAACCACATGCAAAAACCAGTTCCAAATAGATTAAGAATTTAAATGTCAAAAGCAAAACTTTAAAATTCGTACTATGAAATACAAATGAGTAAATTTAATCTTTCAGTAGAGAAAGATTTCCTATACTGGAGGCAAAGATTCTTGACTCTTAAAGAAAGTACTGATAAATTTTACTGAATTACGATTAAAGGGACTTCCCTGGTGCAGTGGTTAAGAATCTGCCTGCCAATGCAGGGGACATGGGTTCGAGCCCTGGTCCAGGACGATCCCACATGCCATGGTGCAACTAAGCCTGTGCGCCACAACTACTGAGCCCGCGCTCTAGAGCCCACGAGCCACAACTACTGAGCCTGCACGCCTAGAGCTGGTGCTCCACAACAAGAGAAGCCACTGCAATGAGAAGCCCACGCACCGCAACGAAGAGTAGCCCCCGCTCACCGCAACTAGAGGAAGCCCACACGCAGCAACAAAGACCCAAGGCAGCCAAAAATTTAATTAATTAATTAATTTAGAAAAATTAAAAACACTCCAAAGATATCTCTAGTAAAGAAAAAACTTGAAGAAGATATTTACACAATTGACAAAGAAAATAAAAACCACAAATTAGTAAGAGCCTGAAAAAAAACGCAACAAAACAGAAAAATGCCCAAAAGGTAGGAATAGGCATTTCAAGAAAGTGGAAATTCATACAACGAAAAATCTATGAAGAAATGTTGAACATCATTGATGATTA